CGCCTCATAGTTGCGCTACAAGAGGATAGCAGGTGAGGCAAAAAGATTGAAAGACAAATATTTAGAAAGCGTTTTAAAAAAAATCATATGCCAAAAATAAATATGATTTCAAAATTTAAAATATTATAATGGATTACTTGTAATTACATGCATGAGTCCCAGTAAAAATAGTTATAAATAATTATTGACTGATTTTATCATTGTGATATTTTTGCATTATATGAACTATTAAGAATATAGTAACTAAGATCCGCAAATTGGAGAAGAGAGTTATCAATGATAATGTCCTGATTTCAAATCCACCATTATCTCCCATTAATTTCTCTCTGTTTTTTTATTTTATTTTTATATTTACATTGTATCATATAGAATCTCTGAGACGCGAGCAAATTTTCATTCTGAAAATGCAGCCAAGAGAAGAACGAAAATTTGGAAACCACTGGATTAAGTCATTTACGAAATCAGGGAAGCAATGGATGTGCGCGACGATGACAATGTCTTTGATCTTAATGTTGTATCCAATGATGAAATGTCGAAATACTTTTCAGGGAAAAGCGAACATGATTCTTTACGCTTTGTTCCAAATGAAATAACAGTAAATATGTTTTTTTTTTTTTTTACTTATGATATTTTATTGTTTTGCATTTTTTACACAAAGTTTATTCATCTAATTTGAGGTAAGTTTTATATACCGATTCCTCTTATATTATTTTCTCTGATTCTACCTTTCTCTACGTGAAACAGAACAATATATAAGCAATTCAAATAATTCTCATTTTATTTTCTATATTTTTTAAATCTCCAATAACCTTAAAAAATAAATATTTTAAGCATTCTAATATTTTATTGATTTTTAGTTACCGTAATTCCCCATGTATAATACGCCTTCATCCATAATACACACCCCTAAAATTGTGCTGAAAGTGTGGGAAAATGTTTCTCCTCATTCATAATATGCACACCTTGTTTGGTAATTAATCCCTATAAATTGTACCTCTCTAATTTCATTACGACCAAAGTTTCCTACTCTTATTTAAAAAATGGTTTTAAACATAAAATAATATCAGTCTAATTTAGTTTTATGTTGATTCTTATTTTATTTTACGGCAATTTTTTAAAGAGTTTTTGTAGCTCTGCATTAAACGCACGCTTGAATTTGCTTATTAATTTTAGAAAAAATTCGTATTGTTCATAGGAATTATGGTACTTTAACTTTACATTCTTATTTACGAAAACCAGTCTTGAAGAACAATTTAAAAAAAAAATAACCAATAAATTTTAATTAAATATAATTGTCGCTCTTTTTTTTCTGAAAATGCACTGTATGGACGTCCATATTTACATAAATGGACAAGTTTATAGACATAAAATAAATTCAAAATTCTTTTATGATACTTGCGGTCGTTGAATTGTAGTGTATTTTTCCATTTATGATTGCAAAATACAATTTTAATTTAATAACAATATCATTTGACCGCTACAAATTTATACATGTAAACTGAAACACATTTTTGTGTTATGTGATATAATATAAAACAGGCGTGTACGCTTATATCAGGTTGTCGACACCTCATTCAAAGTATGAAAAGATACCCGCCTCTGTGTAAAAAATGTTTTGCTGTCATATTTTAATTAAAAAGTAATTAATAATTGTTTTAGTTCAGATTAATTACATTTTAAATCAGTTAATCATTCTCAAATAATGTTACAGGTAAGCATATTTTACTCTGGATAATTTTGTAACGAAGACAATTTTGTGTTGACAGAATATGTCAATTCGGACGACTTTTTCTATTTTACTGATAATAAAAAATGAATTCAAACAATTTAAATTCGGCCGTAAAAAGAGCAGAAATATTAAATTTAAACTTCAAACTTGGAATTAAATCTAAAATAAACGCTTGAAGGAAGAATATAATTTCTGAAAATGCATTTTAAACGTTAGATATCACACACAAACACACACACACACACGCATATATATATATATATATATATATATATATATATATATATATATATATATATATAAGAGAAAAAGGTTAGTGGTCAGAGTTGAATCAGACAAGGAAACAGTAGTATTAAATAATGCTTAATACACGTGTGAAAAATAGATAAAAATAAATAAAGTAAAAAAGTAAAAATAATATGTAGTGCTTTCAACATTAAAAATCAGGATGACAGTTGAATCCAATACCTTAGTTTTAAAATTTCGGTATTCTCAAGCGATTTTTATCAAATGGCCCCCTTTTCATTTTTTTATTTTACACACACACACACACACACACACACACACACACACACACACACACACACACACACACACACACACATATATATATATATATATATATATATATATATATATATATATATATGTATAATTATGTTTATAGTTAAGATCACACTCCTCCCCGGTTTCAAACTGGAGTAAAGTTTTGTCCATTATTCCCTGTTTTGCATTAGGTTTCCGGTTACGTCTTAAGTCTTTTTATTATCTTTCACTCCTAGTAGCCACTTTGCGTCTTGGCTTATTCTACTTCCTTTACAGAGGATTGTTTTATACATACATACATATATATATATATATATATATATATATATATATATATATATATATATATATATATATATATATGTAAGCAAAATGTTAATTATGTTTTAATATGTAAGCAAAATTAATTAAAATATTAATCATGTTTTAATTTGTAAGCAAAATGTTAATTATGTTTTTATAACTATGTCCTGAAGAAGGTCTAATAGACCGAAACGTCTGACGTCGACATTGAAACAACATTAAAACAGCATATTTGCATATTCGGATTTTTGTTTTTCCATATATTTTTCTTCATATATATATATATATATATATATATATATATATATATATATATATATATATATATATATATATATATATATGATGGATCAATATTTCTGACGCTGATAGGGTCATTCATCGTTTCCTTTTGTGGAGAATTGCTGGTTTAAATACAATGCAAAGGAATGAGATTATCTTGAAAAATAAATTGATATAAAATATATGCATTTTTTCATCATTAAGCTACGAACTTATTGATTTCATTGAATACGGCTTATTTGCGAACACACACCCTATTAAAAAAGAGAAATGTTCTGCTGTAATATTACGTGACATGCAGATATGAAACATTCGTTATTGTTTTTTTTTTCAAACAAAGAGTGAGTATTAACATGTCAAGTTCCAATTTGACACAGAAAATAAAAAGGCACGTCGTGTTTGTCTCATTAGCCGTTAGCCACACCGACTCGAAATTAGTTTTCACTTGAATATCTTCGTATTTATTTTTATTATATTTTGTTCTCAATTATTTCTCCCTCCTCGTATTTTCAAAAAAGAGTGTTTATGATTTAAGTTTTAAGAATACCTCTTTTCGTTGACGTTGAATATTTAGAGCACTTATGCCGATGCAATTGAGTAAATCTCATATAGATTACGAGACAAACAACACCATCATTTGAAGGAGCTTTGGATCAGCAAAAGATGCCTTTTAAAAGCAAAGCACAGTATTAGGAAACAGGAAACTCTCGTTAGGAACAAACATAAAAACAACAAAAAATACTTAACTGTTATGTAATATCGATCCTCCTATATGCCAATGAATACTGAACAATTCCCTCACATATGAAGAAGAGACTGAAAGTAATAGAAACAAAGAAAAGAGTACTGAAATGTTATGCAATATCGGTCCTTTTATATATGAATCTCAGCATAGACGAAGAAGATTCATAGCAACAATGTGAATCTACAGAAAGTTACTGAGAATTGAAAATGTGAGCAATGATGTAGTATTAGAGAAAATGGAAACAAAAAGGAAACTTATACTTAATGATATGTCCCGGAAAGGGATATATTTTAACAAAGTAGCTAAGTGGTTTTGGCTACTATAACCAAGTAGAATACTGTAGCAGTGATCGACTGGTAGGCGTCGTAGTCGCAGGTATGAAGTGTAGATCAATGGCTTAATCCAGTGGGCGTCGTTATAGACTTAGCTCTCAAACTAAGGCTCTTGACTCTCCTACACGTCCGTTGGTATTTATGACGGACACCACCCAATCATATTCCAATGAGGGGGAACACAGGTGTATGCATATTCCATTATATCACTTAATATCAGAAAGAGACAGTTGAAATTACTAAGGCACATAATGAGGAAAGCGGACTTGGAATATTTGATACTCACAGGATAGATTGAAGGCAAGCTGAACAGAGAAAAACAGCACATGTCTTACCGAGCTTGTGTAAATTGTTAGACAAGGATTATGAGATAGATAGCAAAAACAAAGTAAAAAATTACTAAGAGCTACATATGATGGGGAATTGTGTAGAATCATGATCGTCGGCGTCAATAAGGGAAACGGCAAGAAAAAAGTGAAAATATGAAAGTATTAAGAATATTCGATAGAATAAAGAAAACTATTGAACAGCTATGCTATATGTATCTTCTAGTATGGCAGTAATTGCATTAAAATTTGCATACAGATGAAGTGACTGGAGACGACACAAATGTTTGCAGCGAACCGTTGCTATGAGGACTGAATGGATTTGCTTGTTTAAGAATTGTGACGAAAAGGCTGAGAATTTTCCTAAGAAACGAATTTAACATGTGGAAGAAATATTACACACACACACACACACACACACACACACACATATATATATATATATATATATATATATATATTATAAAGAATAGCATAAATCAAAAGGTGTAAAAACATATTTTTGTGTGTACACAGACTGCCGAAAAAAAAGAAAGTTAAACATAGGCTTTGCCGTGTGTTTTTGTATTAGATAATGCGCCACATGGCCGGTTGCAATTAAGAAGACCGTCGGTTGGGGGAAGAAAATTCATTGTGTCGCCATTTTAGAGTCCGGAATATTGCCATCTAGCGCGCGGTTCTTGAAAAATATCTATTGCTAATAATAATGTTTTACAGGAATTTCCTTTCTCCTTACTATGTTCGCTTATATTTTCTTTCTTTCTGTCTTTCTTTCATTTTATCTTTCTTTCTTTCCTCCCTTCCTTCCTTTATTTATTTCTTTTTATCTTTCTTTCTTTCCTGCATTTATTTCTTTTTCTTTCTTTCTTTCTTTCTTTCTTTCTTTCTTTCTTTCTTTCTTTCTTTCTTTTCTGCCTTTCATTATTTCTTTCATATTATCGTTCTTTCTTTCCATCCTTCTTTTCCTTTCTCCTGACTATGTTCGCTTATGTTTTTCGTTCTTTCTGTCTTTCTTTCTGCATTTCTTTCATTTTATTTTTCTTTCTTTCCTCCCTTCCTTCCTTTATTTCTTTCTTTTTATCTTTCTTACTTTCTTTCCTGTATTTCTTTCTTTCTTTCTTTTTTCTTTCTTTCTTTTTTCTTTCTTTCTTTCTTTCCTGCCTTTCTTTCATGCCTTTCTTTCTTTCTTTCTTTCTTTCTTTCTTTGACAAACAAGGTCGGGGTACTCCTGACAGTTTATAAAGACAGAGGCTGTGAATACTATGGACAAAACACTTGAGCAACAAGTAAGTTCGTTAGAAAGTGCGAACTAGAATGTTACTTTTACGGAAAATCACAGTCGACATTTTTGTGATAATACAAGAATATCATATAGAATAAAGACTTGGAAAAATATAACCATCCAAGATGAAAGAGATAGAAGGAGTGACACAGCGAAATGGTGAGTAAACTGTTGTAAATTGTTTTAAGTAAATGGATGGTACAGCAGGAAATGAAGTTATCGTAAACGTAAAACGTTGCTTCAACCAAGAGGTGAACTATAAGTACCAACGTCCTGAATGGATACGATACACAAAAGAAAATAAAAAAAAATATTTGGCTATTTTATAGCAATCATTTGGGAATCTATTCTATTCATTTAAATCACTTATTTACATTTTCATTTTAATATTAATTATATGTCTCGAACAAAATCTAGTGTATCAAGAAGTCTTAAAAATAGTTGCTGGAATGAACATAGTTTGTATAAAAAAGAATCTCTCTATTTTGTGATCGTTAGCAGCTTCTGTTTTGTTCATAATTTAAGTATAGATACAATGAGAAGCAGAAAAATACATTCAAGGAAAATCAGGCATGCTTACATGAAACCATCTTGGTCGAAAAAAAAGACATATTTTCCTTAATTTAAATGAATTGACAACATCAAACAACAAGAATGAGACGAAAGTCATAAAAGATATGGTGTAATCCATATCATAAAGTATATGAAAGTGACAATCTTTGATCATTCCAGCTACGAATCTTTTTTTAATACCTTTTTGCTAGATCATTTGCAATACCCTCGGCTTTAATAAAAATGTTGAATGCAAATTTAGTGGATGAAAAGGGCAATACTAAAGGTTTTTTCCAGGGATCCTGGGATTTTTTTAATTGCAAATCACTTCGCAAAACATATAAAAACAAAACTTACGATATTCTCATGACATGTTGAGATATTTTCGTTTTCTTTATTCAAATTCTTTCCAATCATACAATTAATTTCAAACAAATCTTTATGATTATTTTATTTAATACGAGCCGATAAGCCGCCTTTCTGTTAGACTTTAGGCTATATCCTGCGGAGTGCATTTGTGACTTCTTGCCTTTTACCTTCAACGTCCAATGTAAGTATAATTTATAAGAATATAGAAATAATAAAATTATGTCATATTTATTTCACACCTTAATTGGGCATAATCTTTCTTCGTACACACAATCGACCTTCGTAGTTTGTGCAATTTTTACTTTCTTATAAGATCACCATTATTTATGACCCCTTCACTTAAAGTCACTCTTAAGTCATTATGGAACCCTAACTAAGTAATATTTTGAATACGTCACATCACGAGTGCTAGAAAAAGCATTTAAGCAACGTGCAGTGCCCCACATGTGTTTTAATTACGCTTTAATTAGACGATAACACTTGCGACGAAAAGCGAAATTAAAGTTAAACTTTTAATAAAGAATTGATTTTTTTAAGCCTTTCACTGTTCGATATTTAAATTTAACTTTAAATGAGTTATTTATTTAATTTTTAATCGCGTGTAACTACAGTAGTTACTATCTCTTACTTCAGGTTGTTTATGATTGGTCGAGATTGAAAAGCGGACGGACGGACGGACACACGTACACTGCATTTTATTTATGTAGATTATATTTAAATTTGAAGAATGTACTAAACATCATTTGTAAAGGACAGAATATATGGCCGGCAGCAATATTCGAGCAATAAACTAGCGATGTTAATGGCAAGCAATTACGAAAATTTAAAGATATGGGAATTGTTTTAATAGACGAAGTAAAATGTAACAGCGAAATTCAAAAGCGCAAAAGATACCTGCTAAAAGCTAAAATATGTATTAAGAAACTGGAAAATTTTGTCAGAAACAAAGAAAAGAGTGCTGATCTTCTATCAAAATAAATTCTCTTATATGCTTGTGAATGCTAAAAGATAAAGAAAGATAAATATGATACTACAGAAGGATGGTGAGAATACCATGTGCGAAGGATGTGGGCAACAAAAAGATACTTATATTTAGACTTAGAAAGAGACAGTTTAAATTTTTAAGAAGCATATTGAGGAATTTTTCGTTCAAGTGCACCCTTCTGTAGAAACATATCTCTTTTGTTTCCTACTCATCTGTGATGAGTTTGTCTAGCATACATCGACATATAGCAGTGTTGCTACTGATAAACTTTCTTTTCTTTGGTTTTAACGTATTTTCCTCGTTCTTAACATTTTGTTTAGCTTGAGGAAGACAGCTTTCGGTATTACATTGCAACGGTTATAATACTTCAAAAATAGACTAATCTCTGTAATAGTCAGTGAGGCTACGTATTTATTTGTTATCAAATTTTAGTTTGTTCCTTCTTCGTCTGGACCGTTTAAAAATGGCGCTAAAATGACACTGTCGTAAGGATAAAATAAATGAAATACGAGCATAAAACTAATAGTAAACGTTTCAGTATAAATTATCATTTTTCGTATGAACTGGAATATTTCTAACAATTAATACAGGAAACAATCAAAATCTTTTTGCATAATGAGAGAAAAGATTCTATGATTATAAGACTTGGTAATGAATCCTAACCTAAAAGAAAAATACACAGACAATGTGAAAAGAAGATACGAGGCCCACAATGGAAAGTCGAAATGGGACACACTAAGAGACGCTTTAGTGACATCAGCAAACGATGTCATCCCAAAGGAGACAGAACGAAGAAGGGGAAACGAATGGATGACTGAAGAGATTCTTGGCATGGAAAGAAGACAGAAAGCCCGGCCAAGACACAGAACGGAATACAGAAAATTACACAAGGAAATAAGGCCCAAATGCAGGCAAGCTAAAGAAGAATGGCTAAACGAAACATGTGCAGAAATAGAAAGATTGAGTACTACCAACAAAAAAGGCATGCACTAACAAACAAGAAAAATAACAGGACAAAAGTCATGCTCGTCAACTGGCTGCCTAAAACCAAAAGATGGAACAGTCATATAAGAGAAGGAAAAAATTCTTCAACGCTGGAACGAGTACACTGGTGAACTCTTCTGCGACGTAAGAGAACCAATAGCAATACACAGAAGTATCGGCGCACCTGGAATTCTGAAAACCGAATTAAAAGCCGCACTGGCCAAAGTGAACAAAAACAAGGCAGCTGGACCAGACGGAATTGTAACGGAAATGCTGACAGCCTTAGATGACATTAGCATAGAAAAGATCACTGAAATAACAAACTAAATCTACAACAGCGGAGATATACCGGAAGACCTCAGCAGATCTATCTTCATAGCTATGTCTAAGAAACCAGGTGTAAAAGATAACGAACTCCGCCGAACAATAAACCTAATGAGCCACGTGACAAAACTCATCATCTGTATTCTAATAAACAGAGCGGGCAACAGCCCAGAGACAGGACAAGAACAGTGCGGGTTCGTTAAAGACACTGGAAGAAGGAACGCAATAATGCTCAAAATGTTATCAGAAAGAACGGTAGATTCAGAACGGCGTGTACCTATGTTTTATGGACTACTCAAAGGTCTTCGACAAATTACGCCACAAGAATCTGATGGAATTTCTCAACAACCTCGATATACCCGAGAAAGATATCAGAATAATCAAGAACCTATACTGGTAAGAAAAAAGCATTCATGCGCATAGGGAACGAATTTAGTGAATATACAAAAATAGAAAGAGGCGTAAGAGAAGGATGCGTCTTCTCACCTGAACGTTTCAACCTATACAGCGAGGCAATCCTGAGAGAATTGAAAACCCTACCAAGATTTAGCATTGGCGGCCACAATCATAACAACATATGATACGCATATGACGCAGTACTGATAGCAGACACGGAAATTACAAAATCTTCTACGGAAGGTAACGACGGAGAGTGAGACGAAGGGACTAAGCCTAAACTACAAGACGAAGTGCATGGTCGTCTGTAAGAGGATGAGACCGAAATGCGATCTGAAGGTCGGGAACATTAGAATCAAGCTGACGCGGAAGTTTAAATATCTAGGAGGCGTTTTGACAGAAGACGGTAAGTGTGACACTGAGATCTCTAGAAGTATTGGGATGGCCAAGGACACATTCCAAAAGCTCGGCAGAGTACTGCGAGACAGATATCTTTGGTAACAAAGAAAAGAATACTGAACTGTTCCGTGACATCTGTCCTTCTTTACGTCACCGAATGTTGGACGATTTCCTCAAAGATGAAGAAGTGACTCGAGGTGACGGAGATGTCGTTCTGAAAAAGATGTTAAGGATATCATGGACCGAGTGTGTTAGCAAAGATTAGATCTTAGAGAGGTTGCAAACAAGGAGGAGGTTTATACTTAATATTAGGTAGAGGCAGCTGAAATTTCTGAGACATCATTATGTCTCAGAAATTTCAGCTGCCTCTACCTAATGCCTAGAGAATCTGACACTCACGGGTCGAATAGAGGGAAAGAGAGACAAAGGAAAACAACACATGATATTCCTGGCGGACCTAAGCAAGTGCATGACAGAATGTGATCTGGGAGAGGAAGCAGATGGAAGGAACTCGCTGAGAGCTGCAAGGGATAGAAGGAGGTGGAGAGCCATGATCTCCTATGTCCTGAAAGGACATGACACATAAAAAGAAAGAAGAATGGTGATGTATATTTCTTTGATAAGAATGATGTATATTTCTTCAGTATTGATGAAGAAATTCATACGTAATGAAGCATCTGCTGCCATAACAAAAAAAATGCCCTCAATATTTTTTGTGTGTGCATAATGTAAATTTAAACGCCCTCTTACTTAAAATAGCAGCCGACAAAAATTGAAATGTAAAATGATGCCAAAAATATAACCACAATTTAAAAAACAAAAGTAAATTACATTCTATATCCTTGACGTTAAGTACACAGAAAAATTCCTCCTAAAAGAATGAAACGCAAAATGCAAAGAACAAAACAAAAGTCAAA